TGGTCTTTTTGAGGCAGGGTCTCCCTGTAGCCCCAGCTGTTGTCCTGGAACTTGCTGTGTAGACCAGGCTGGCCTCAAACTCACAAAGATCTGCCTGCCTCTGTCTCCCAAGTGCTGGGATTAAAGGCGTGTGCCACCATGCCAGGCAGTTTCTTCATTCTTAAAGTGAGGAATAAATTGTACTTTTTAGGATTTTTTTTTCTAAAGTCTACTTTTTATTTTTATTTTATGTCTATGAGTGTTTTGCCTGCGTGAAAATATTAAGTGCACCAGCGAAAGCAATGCCTTCAGAGACCAGAAGAGGGCATTAAATCCCCTGGAACTGAAGTTACAGCCAGTTATGAGCGGCCATGTGGTTCTGGGAACTGAACCCTGCTCCTCCCCAAGAGCAGTCAGTGCTCTGAATCACTGGGCCATCTCTCCAGCCCCTAGATTGTTAAGATTATATAAAATGGATATAAAAATGTCTAGCATACTGTATGGCAAACAGCAGGCATTTAGTAAGTATTCTTTACTTGGCCATGTGACAAGCCTGTTAAGTTCCTACTATATGGCAGTCATTGTGCTAGGCACAAAGGATGTAGCCATGACACTCTTCCTACAAGGAGGGAGAGTAAGATTATTTTTTTCCTGACTGATTAAAAACATTAATTAATTTCTGTTAATTTGTGGGGGGTTATGTTTCTCTTCTTTAACAAGTGGTTTGGTTTATTTTCAATAGGATTTTGTTTGTTTTTCACAAAAATGGCCATTTGAGTTACAAGGCAAAAGTAAAGCCCCCTAGGCTGAATGGGGCAAAGACTGGGGTGTTTTCTACACGGAGTCCCCATCGTCCCAATGCAATAGGACTGACTCTGGCCACGCTGGAAAAGGTGGAAGGTAATTCATGTCTAATTTGACCTTTTCTCTCTTACTCCAGAATGTCTTATGTAATCAGCACAGCATTCACTGCTGGCTGCTGTTCATGCCAACACCAGTGTGTCAACTCTTGAGATCCCTCAGCCTCTGAAGATGTATGTTGCTAAAATTACTTCTGGGAAGCACACTTATGTGGCTTCCAGCCCCCTCCTCCCATCGTCCTTATAACAAAATGAGGTATAATTTCTCCAGACTACAGTTTGGGTAACTAAAGAGTTTATTGGACTTCTGTATAGATCACTGGGTTGAGGTGGTTCCTTATAGAAGTGTGGGCACAAGTGGGCTCCCTTCTCATTGCAGCAAGGACCCTGTAACCTCCCGGCGGCTGCCCAAGATGACCAAAGCCATCCCCTCTCTCTGGCTTTCCAGGTCCCTATCCTTACTCCCTCCTCCATGTACCACTCAGGCCAGCTGGTTGGATGGAAGGCATGACTGACTCCCTCTGCCCCTTCCCTCCTACAAAAAGTTCATTTGTGGTGATCAGAACAAGTGGGTGAATCCCAGCTTAAGAAGGCATCCGTCACTGCTTGCCAGTCTAGCTTGCCAGGCAGAGGACAAGTCCATACGACAATGTATGAGGACTGAAAGGAGGTTGGCATTGGACACACTACGAAATAAGCACTTAGGTGATGCACAAAGTTTGTTTCATCATTTCTCTACCAAAACCACTGTTATTTTTTCTTTTTAGCTCATATATTTCATAAGACTTTTAATAGAGTAAATACAAAATGATTAAAACTTATTGATACTTTTCAAATGTAACAAAGGTTGTACATGCATATCTGGTAAGCAGAAGAGTGGTGAGTCATTTCTTTGCATCCTTAAGAAAATAGACATTTGGGCTACAGTGGGGCCATCAGCTGTGCTGTGTGGCAGTGGCCTGGGATGAGTCACACTACAGGATTGAACATCTCTCAGACTATCAGAGTTTCACTGCAGAATAGTTCTATCTGTTCCTGTACAATCTAGTCAAATATTTTTAGAGAGCTTTTGTTTTTTGTTTTTGTTTTGACTTTGAACTATAGCTTAAGATGACCTTGAACTTCTGGATCCACTTAGCTCCACCTCCTGAGTGCTGGGATTGTAGGAGTGTAGAGCCATGCCCAGTTCATGTAGTGCTATGGATTAAACCCAGAGCTTTGGGCATGCTAGGCAAGTATTCTACCCCGAGCTGTATCCCCAGGTCAGAGAGTGTCTCGCTCTACAATAACTCTGTTCAGTACGTATGTTCGTTAGAGAGGCAGAAGAAACAGCATGTGGACAGAAGTCAGGAACCTATTCCAGGCTGTAGGTTGCTTGCTTTCTCGAAAAGTAGGCAGAGGCACGGGGCCTGCCTCTTTGTGACCCCATAGAGTTTTGTTGTTGTTGAGGATCTTATGAGACGAAAGCTTTACTAGTACTCTTCAGGACATTGGGCACTAAATAAATGAGGATATTTTGCTTGTTCTTTCCCAGAACTTGAACTCAAGTATTGTGTAGGTTTTCCAGGAAATTCAGTTGCTGATAACACCTTGAGTTTTGTCAGTTTGAGATGGCTTACCAAACTGGATAGCAACATCACTAGAGCTTTATATTTTGGTTTATTTTTATTTTATGTGTGTGAGTGTTTTGTCTGCATGTATGTAAGAGTATCGTGCATTCAAAGCCTGTAGATATCAGAAGAGGTGTCAGATCCCCTAGAACTGGAGTCACAGTTGTTAGCTGTCATGAGGGTGCTGGGAACTGAACCTGGGTCTTTTGAAAGAGCAGCCAGTGCTCTTAACCGCTGAGACACCTCTCCAGCCCTTTTATTTATTTATTTTTTTAGTCTTTTTGAGACAGGGTCTCCCTGTAGCCCTAACTGGCCTGGAACTCGCTATGAGACCAGGCTGGCCTGGAACTCACTATGAGACCAAGCTGACCTTGATCTCACAGAGATCCACCTGCCTCTGCTTCCTGAGTGCTGGGATTAAAAGTGTGTGCCACTATGACTGGCTTTTTTTTTCTGAGTCTTGATGAATATATTATATTGCTATTTCTGTACAACAAATGATGAAAATCATCTGTTGAGACAGCACACTTGGTGATATGTTTGGAACATTGCCATCTTTTCATGAGTCAACTGGATGGGCTAACCTTAGCTGAGTCCTCTGCGGTGAAGTTGTCACCTGGGATGAGTTCTTACACGGAGGCTCGTCTGTTGAAGAATCCATATCCGGGCTTACTTAGGTTGTGGCAGAGTTCATTTCCTTATATGTTAGAACTGAGAGCCCTAGCTTTGCACTGGTGTTGGTGTAGAGGTTTGTACACAGGTACCTCTGTGGGGCCTGGAAGGATTGCTTAGGTTTGGAAGAGCCCAAAAGGTTTGTGGAAGACATGTTCTGTGAGAGCTTTGAAGAGTAGCATTTGACAGAAGAAGACAGGATGGGTTTCAGGTAGAAGGAACAGTGTGTAAGTGGGCTCAGTGAGGAGAGAGATTTGGGCTATAATTCTGCCTTCATTTGAATGTACTGTTCTCCACTGTGAACACTTATTAAGAGTTTTTCCACTTTACAGGTGGAGCTGTATACCTGACTGGAATTGACATGATACATGGCACACCTGTGTTAGACATAAAACCCTACATAGCTGATTATGACTCACCACAAAACTTGATGAAGCCTTTAGGGAGCTTTAATTTACAGAATAACCAACACAAACCAAGGACTGCGTCCCAGTCGGACAGTGGAACTGATACCTGTGACCAGCGGCAGAGCTCAGTGTGTGAGAAAGCACAGCCCTGCCATGGCGCTGAGGAGAAACTGAAACACCTTGAAGACAGAGCTTCAGAAGAAAACTCCCCGAAGCCCAGCAACAGCACAGAAACCCCTTGTTCCTCACCTGGGCACAGGGACAGAGCAGCAGATTTAGAGTTGGATTCAAGGATCAGTGAGAATGTGGGTGTGACAGAATTGCAGCATGGCCCACAGGAGCTGAAGAACTTTCCAGAACCCAGGAGTTTGGAAGGCACCATGGTCCTGCAGGGGAGTAGTGTAGAGACACAGGGGGCTGCTTCCTGCCCCACCAGGATAGCTGACAGAGCACCTGGCAGTGTGGTCCCCACCTGGGTGAGAGAGGCCCCTGCCGCCCCTTTACAGGTCCGATTTACTCCTCACGCAGAGATGGACCTGGAGCAGCTCGGTTCAGGTGAGCAGGGCACCCTGGGTCTCCTAGTTTGGAAGGAAAGCTGAACCTGCACTTTTTGTTGTTTGTTTGGGTGGTTGGTTTTTGTCGTGTGGTGCTAGGGATCAAACCCAAGACCTTGTGACTGTCAGCTAGAGACCCATTCCAAGTGGTGAGCTTTTATTTATAATTGGAATGTAGCCAGGGTTGTTATTTCTGAGAGCCGTTATATGGAACATTTGTCAGTGTGAGTTTTTTAAGAAAAAGGAGCATAAACTGCTGTGTAGGCACACTGACACATGACAGTGCTTATTTGACAGCTTTTCAGTTGGTGTAGCTAGTTTAGGTGCTCAGAAAAGCACTTGTGGGCAGTGGCTGCTGCCTCAGGCAGTGCCTGTCTCCACAACCCTTGTATTTTTTTTTTTTAAGGTCTATTTAAAAATTTTTTTAAATATTTTATTATTTTTATTTTATGTGTATGAGTGTATTGCCTGCATGTATGTGAATGCACCCATGTCGTGCAATGCTGCGGATTCCCCTGGAACTTGAGTTAAAGATGGCTCATAGCTGCCATGTGGGTGCTGGGAATCGAACCAGGGTCCTCTGCAAGAGCAGTGTTCTTAACCGCTGAGCCATCTCTCCAGCCCCAGGTCTATTTTAAATTTAAAATTTTTAAAAAAAATTTTATGTGTATGAGTGTATTCCTTGCATATATGTGAATGCACCCATGTCGTGCAATGCTGTGGAGGTCAGAAGAGGGCTTCGGATTCCCCTGGAACTGGAGTTAAGGACGGTTTGTAGCCGCCATGTCAGTGCTGGGAATCAAATCCGGGTCCTCTACAAGAGCAGTCAGTGCTCTTCACCGCTGACCCTCTCTCCAGCCCCCTTAAAGGTCTCTTTTAATTATGTGTGTGTATACATGAGTGTGGGTGCCAGGAACACTAGAGAGGGTGATGAATTCCCTGGTAGTTGTGAGCCACCTGATGTGGGTGCTGGGAACTGAACTCAGGCATCATCTAAGTTTCTTTTTTTATTGAATTTTTGTGTCTTTCATACATAAAATCATCTTTTTACCCCCTTTCCTCTTCCCCTTTGGCACCTCACATAGCATAAAAGCATGTGCTACCATGTCTGGCCTTGTAAGGTGTTTTTTTCATTTTTTTAAAAAAATTGCATTTATTTATTTTTGTTTGTGTGTTTGTGATGTGCCACAATGCATTTGTGGATTTCAGAGGACAATGTGCAGGAGTCAGTACTTTTTTTTTTCTTTTATTTATTTATTTTTTTTGTTTTGTTTTGTTTTTTTTGAGACAAGGTCTTGTAGCACACCTGGCCTAGAACTCACTATATAGACCAGGCTAACCTTGGTCTCACAGAGATCAACCTACCTCTGTCTCCCAAGTGCTGGAACTAAAGGTATGTATCATCACACCCTGCTCAGGTGTTGGTTCTTTCCTTCTACCCTGTGGGTCCTGGATATTGAGTTTTTGATCAATAAAATAAAAGTTTGGGATGTACATAGGTTAATTGTAGCCACAGTAAATGCTTTGTGAAGGTGCTGTTCTCTGAAATGACTGAATAGATTTCTAAACCCTGTAGGGAGCCACCACATTTGGGATGGAAGCTCACTCTTAGGAAATTTGACTTGCATGATTTTGAGTAAAGGCTTGTGTCTCTCTCATTACAGATGCTGGTCAGGTGTCATTTAAATATTTTCAGTCAACTGAGGAAGCAAAGTGTGCCATCAAGGCTGTGCTGGCTGCAGATCCTCGGTCTGTGTACCGCCGGAAGCTCTGTCAGGACCGCCTTTTCTACTTCACTGTAGATGTAGCACACGTCACATGCTGGTTTGGTGATGGCTTTGCAGAGGTCCTGAGAGTCAAGCTGGCTTCTGATACTGTCCAGGTGACTGACCCTGAGCAGTCCTTGGTACCCCTGGGATCTTGAAGAGCCTCCATCATGTCTTGAGACAGCCTCATTGATTTTACTGCTCTGGTTGGTGCCATTCAAAATGTTTATTTGAAAAAATGTATTTTAATAAACTTGGCTGAGTAATCACTATGTGCTTTGCCTGCTAATGCTAGAGACCCCAAAGTAATACTGTGTTAGTGATTACCTGAAGAAACATTATTCTTGGTACTTGGTAAATTAGAGGTTATTCTTTTTTTTTAATATTTATTATTTTAATTTTATGTGTATGACTGTATTGCCTGCATGTAAGTGAGTGCACCCATGTTGTGCAATGCCAAGGACGGTTCGCAGCTGCCATGTGGGTGCTGGGAATCAAACTCGGGTCCTCTGCAAGAGCAGTCAGTGCTCTAAACTGCTGAACTATTTCTCCAGCCCCAGAGGTTACTTTTTAAAAATATATTTATTATTTTTATTTTATATGTATGATTATATTGCCAGCATGTAAGTTCACCTGTGTCATGCAGTCCCAAGGAGGTCAGAAGAGGGCATCAGAATCCCTGGAACTGGAGTTTGGGTTAGTTGTTAGCGCCATGTGGTTGCTGGGAATTGAATACAGGTCCTCTTCAAAAGAAACCAGTGCTCTAAACTGCTGAGCCATCTCTCCAGCCCCAGCAGAGATTATTCTAACAGGGACTTTGAAGTTATAATTGACCTGTTCAACAATTCACATTGGTTTTCCTCTTTGGAGAGTCTGACCTATTTTATTGTAAATCAAACTTAGTTACATTTTCTTAGGAAACCGACAAATTAAAAACCAAGTGCTTACAGAGATTTTTAGGGAGAAAATCTCTGCACTTCAGAGACTTTGGGACATACACACATATGTGTGAATGCACTTTGATATATTTGATCTTGATGTAAAAATAAAAACTCAGATTCTTCGAATGTCCTTGAATCAGAAAACAAAAAGTCAAAAAAAAAAAATTCCCAAAAGGTTAAGGAAGTCATTACTAGTTTGTTTCTGATTTATTTTGTGACTGTTGAGAAGCTGTTATGGGTCAGGCTTTGGTGATTAACATGAGATTAACAAGATGGCAGCAGAGTTGGAGCCAGAGTTTCACTATGTAGCCCAGGCTGGCCTGGAAATCTGACCCTCCTGCCTCAGCCTCTTGAGTCTGGTTTACGGGCCTGAACTACCACACCTGGTTCAAGATGCAGTTCACATTGCAAGTTATAGTTTGCGGAGGAAGTAATACACAAGCAAATTAGTGTATTACAGGATGATAAACCAATTAATACTGCATAGTTCCTGTGCTCTGTAGGAAGCAGTTGTAGGAATGTGTGGCCTATAGGTGGTTTTAATTAGATTGTCTGAGATAACTGAAGATTTATGATCATTGTAACCAAATTAGACACCTGTCAACATGATACACTTTCTTAATCACAGCAGCAGATCTTAAAGCTGATTGATCATGATTTGGAAATGAACCACAGCCTGTGGAAACTTGTGCAGTCATTGTGGTTGATGACATGCCACTCCTGAGCCAAATTGGTTTGTAACGGTTGCCTTTGATATTACTTAGAATGTCTTGGGAATAGGTCTTTGAATTCGATTTTCGCTTTTTGCTTTGAAAGAGATTTGTAGGAAGTTGCAAGAACAGTACAGAGGTTTAGCACTCACCTAGCATCTTCTAGTAGTAAGAGCTTCTGTAGTTAATATAGCTAAGATGTTGACATTGGTACAGCCTATACCCTTTGGTCTGATTTTGATGCTTTTCTTACGTATATGTGCATAGGTATATATGGATGTGCATGTACACATGTGCATGTGTGTGTGTGGAGATCAGAAGTGATACCACTTTTTTTTTTTTGTCTTTTTGAGACAGGATCTCCCTGTAGCCCCAGCTGTTCTGGAACTCATTATGTAGACCAGACTGGCCTCGAACTCACAGATCTCCACCTGCTTCTGCCTCCCAAGGGCTGGGATTAAAGGTGTGCGCCACCACTCCTGGCTTTTTTTTGGTCTTTTTAGGACAAGGTCTCCCTGTAGCCCCATCTGGCCTGGAACTCACTATTAAGAACAAGCTGGCTTTCGAATTCAGAGATCCACCTGCCTCTGCCTCGGAGTGCTGGGATCAAAGGCATGTGCCACCACACCCAGCTCAGAAGTGATACTACTTTTTAAAAAGATTTTAATTTTTTTAGCTGGATGTGGTGATGCACACCTTTGATCCCAGCACTCAGGAGGCAGAGGTAGGTGGATCTCTGTGAGATTGAGGCCAGCCTGGTCTACATAGTTCCAGGACAACTGGGGCTACTGGGTGACCCAGTCTCAAGAAAAAAGTTTTTATTTTTAATTTGTGAGTGTGTGTGTGTGTGTGTGTGTGTGTGTGTGTGTATGAGTGTGTGTGAGTGCAGGTGCCTGCAGAGGCCAGAGCCATTGGGTTCTGCTTATGAGAGAAATAATGTGATATTTGTCATCGTGGTCTGACCTATTTCACTTAACATGATCTCCGGTTCTGTCATAATTTGATTCTTTACAGCGGAATTAAATTCCATTATGTATATGTAGCATGTTTTCAGTATTCACTCATCTGTTAGTAGCTGTCTGGGCTGGTTGTTTCTAGGCTATTGCGAATAGTAGTAATGAACATGGCTGTGCAAGGTATCTCTATGGTGTGCAGTCTAGAGTCCTTTGTGTACATGCTCAGGAGTAGTTTAGCTGGATCATGTGGTAGTTCTTAGTGTTTTGAGGAACTTCTGTACTGGGTTCCATAGCAGCTGGACCAGTTTATGCCCCAGCAAGAGCAGTTGCATTGAGGATACCAACCAGTCTCTGACAACAGAACTTTAGTTTTCGTGTTTGATTATCCATTTGCAATAGTTGTAAGCTAAGAGGATTTCAAATATGAGCTGATCTGAGGCTTCCAGTTTGGGAGTCTTCTGACCTCCAAGTGCTCCACTTTCCAGTCCCTGTTTACACCCCCTAAGAGCAAAGGCCCTACCTCTGTCTATGCAGTCCATTCAGTATGGCTAGTACTCATTAGTTGAGTAGTCTTCCTTTAAAAAAAAAAACTTATTTTTATTTTATGTGAATGAGCATATTGCCTGCATGTATGTGAGTGCACCCATGTCATGCAATGCCATGGAGGTCAGAAGAGGGCTTCGGATTCCCCTGGAACTGAAGTTAAGGATGGTTTGTAGCTGCCATGTGGGTGCTGGGGATCGAACCTGGGTCCTCTGCAAGAGCAGTCAGTGCTCTTAACCGCTGAGCCATCTCTCCAGTGCTGAGTAGTCTTCCTTTAAGATTTAATGTTTTTTATTTTTAATAAGTGTGTGTGTCTAGGTATTTGAGTGTAGGTGCCTGTGGAGGCCAGAGCCATTGAATACCCCCAGAACTGGCGTTAGAGCAGTTGTGAGCTGCCCAAGAAGGTTGCTGGGAACCAAATTCCAGTCCTCTGGAAGAGCAGAACATACTCTTAACCATGGAGCCATCTCTCTAGTCCCCAAATATTCTTCCTTTATACAAGATCAGTGCTGCTTTCTGTTAACTCCACTCATTAGTGGGTCACACAGAATTAAGCTGATCATCCGAGTTAGCCTGCCGGGGCCTGGGACTCACTGTGGAGTACCTGCCAAGCATGCACAAAGGCCTAGGTTCAATCCCAGCACTGCCAAGACAAGAGGAAAAGCACCCAGTTAGCCTGTCAGATCACACCTGTGCTGAGCACTCCCAATTTATCTTCTGCTGTTTCTCACATTAATGACCACAGCTGCTTCCTCCGCCTCCTCCCCGCAGCTTTTCTTGAGGGCTCCTGAGGGGACACACAAGCCCCTGTGTGCAAATACTTTGTCTTTCTTGTTGGGAAGAAATGTGGGTCTCTAGTTTGTGAACATCTTTCTCAGGAAGGGAAGATAGGCTGAAGCACAAGTCTGAAACAAATTTACTTGTTTAACTTTTTTATTATGTCTTTAAAAAAAATTTTTTTGATTTATTTTTATTTTGTGTGTATGAGTATTTTGCCTGCATGTATGTAAGTGCATTCATGTCATGTGATGCCACAGATGACAGAAGAGGGTATAAGAGCCCCGGGAACTAGTGTTACAAATGATTGTTAGCCACCACATGGGTGCTGGGACTTGACCCCAGGGTCCTCTGCCAGATCAGCCAGTGCTCTTAACTGCTGAGTCATCTCTCCAGCCCTTGTTCTACATTTTTAATATAATATTTTTATTCTTCCAGAATTTCATATATGTGTACAATGTATTTTGATCATATCCAGCTCCCCCTCTCCAACTATCCCTGGAAGCCACCCAACACTTCCCCTTCCCAACTTCATATCCTCTTTTTAATTTTTAATTAATTAATTTATTTTTATGTGTATGAGTGTATTGCCGGCATGTAGGTAAGTGCACCTGTGTCGTGCAATGCCCACGGAGGACAGAAGAGGCCATCAGATCCTCCGGAACTGGAGTTACGGACAGTTGTTAGCTGCCATGTGGGTGCTGGGATTTGAACCTGGGTCTTCTGCAAGAACAGTCAGTATTCTTAACTGCTGAGCCATCTCTCCAGCCTCCAATATCCTCTTTTGTAAAAAATAATAAACCACTTAGACCAGTTAGTTGCCTATATGTGCACAAGTGTGGAGCCATCCACTGGAACATGGGCAACCTATTAGTGGCCGTACCTTCAAAGAAAAACAACTCTCGTTCACCTAGCAACCATCAACTGCCAATAGCTCCTCAGCTCTGAGTGGGGGCTCATGAACCTCTCCCCATCCATGCTGGAATGTTGACTGCTTGATCTTGTTCAGGTAACTGTAGCTGCTCATGAGTGCAAAGGCCACATCATGTCCAGAAGACAGCGTTTTATGGCACTCCTCCCCATCCTCTGGGTCCCTCTTCAATGATGTTACCGAAGCCATGTGTGTGTGTAATATAGATGTCCTATTTAGGATTGAGCATTCACAGTTATTTATTCTTAGCACTTTGACCAGATATGAGTTTCTGCATTAATTACTACCCACTGCAAAAAGAAGTTTCTCTGGCCAAGGTTGAGAGCAGGACAAACCTATGAATGTAAATATTAAGAAGGCACTTTGACAATATGACCATTTAGCAGACAGCAATGTAGGCTCTCACTAGCACTGTGACCTCCCAA